TCCACGAAACCCCGTCGTCTCTCCTCCCTTGTTCCAAGCCGTCGTCGTTCTCTTGTACCTCCTTTTTCTGATTAATAAACTCAGTTGTGCCGTCGGCTTTCTTCCCTTGGTCGTTCTCGGATCCCTCCTCGTTCATCTCTCCTTTTCCCACAAAACCTCAGACTCTATCCGAGCCATAGGCTTGTTCGACTCGAGTTGGGCTCTCTCACATCCCACTTGGTCGTTTGCTGCACGGATTGAGTATTCCAAAACTCAAGCCCGTGACATTTTGTGGTATCAGAGCCTGGTTCGCTCTCAAACGGACCAGCTCTCTTTCGCTTCCGCAATCCACTCTTTAATCGAGAATCCGAGAGACTAAGGGGATCGACAAGGCATGTCGGGTTCAGGAGAGAACGAGACTCACGCTCAGGAGCACGCCTCTGAGGCCGAGAGTGCACGTGACCGTGGTGCTCCACGTGACCCCATTGTCACGAGATCCTGATCTCACACAGCCGAGGCAAATCTGCCAACCGTAGAATCACGTCTACGCTTGCTAGACGAGTCCGAGGCTGAGCAAGATACGCGCATGGACGAGCTTGAGCAGGAGATCTCCGCCGTCGGGGAATCCACCAAGCACGTCCTTGATGACATCAAGCAGTCCCAACAAGTCGACCGAGGCTTGACTGCTGAACAATTCCAGATCATGCAAGAGAAGCATGACCGCGAGGTAACGGGTTTGCGTAATTTGGTTAATGAACTTACTCGTGAATGCAGCACGTGTTCGGACAACCCACCGAGAAACACTGACCACCAAGATTCTCGGACCTGACCAAGGGACATGGACCACAGGATGGACCAGACGACCGACAAACACAGACGTCCATATTTCACGGACGACCAGAAATGTCGGACGTCCGAGAAACCCGCTGCTGTCCGAGAAAGCCTTGCGGGCGTGTCCGAGAAACTTCAAGCGCGGGCCACAGCAGACCATGGACCTCGGACCAGCCTCGGCCCATCACGCCCAGCCTCCAGCACCCCTCCAACTCAGCTCCAAGTCATGGCCAAGCCCAAGCCACGTCAGGTTCAGCCCATGGCCGAGAATGGCCGAAACCCAAGGTCTTGGTCCTTGACAAGTTCATGGACGAGCCCGATGGGTTTCTCATGGCCATCTCTTGGCCCAAGGGTCCTCTTTGCTTCCTTAGTTCGACTAGGTCAAAGTAGATCTAGGTTAGTTTGAATTTTGAATTTTGAATTTGAATTTGAATGAGGATCTTGAGGAGGGAATCATGGGAACCACTTGTTGGTCATCTAGGAGAGTTTCGGCCTTAATAAAAAGACCTCGCCGGCTCCCTTGAATGACCAGAACGGGAAACCCCCACATTCATCTCTCTCTTGCGCCTCATTCTCTTTTCTACTTGTCGCCGGCTCGTCTTGGATGAACCTCGGTGGTCCACGAAACCCCGTCGTCTCTCCTCCCTTGTTCCAAGCCGTCGTCGTTCTCTTGTACCTCCTTTTTCTGATTAATAAACTCAGTTGTGCCGTCGGCTTTCTTCCCTTGGTCGTTCTCGGATCCCTCCTCGTTCATCTCTCCTTTTCCCACAAAACCTCAGACTCTATCCGAGCCATAGGCTTGTTCGACTCGAGTTGGGCTCTCTCACATCCCACTTGGTCGTTTGCTGCACGGATTGAGTATTCCAAAACTCAAGCCCGTGACACATAAGGGCGTTTTAGACATTTTCTTTGCAAGGTCATATGAGTCATTCTACCAAAACTGAGGTGTAAAACTTGATAAAAAATCTTTTTACAATTTCAGGGGTATATCTGCAATGCGACAAGAAAAGTATAATCTTGAAGTTTAGCCAATTCTGTGAGCGCTGGAGCAATTCCCAGATTCTTGCAGGGAACCCTAATTTCGGTTACCTTTGATTTCTGAGGAGAAGTGGTTATGTTGATCGGTGCGTGATTTTGTATATTTTAAATCCTTCTCTTATTGGATTTGGCTTGTGTTGCGTTTGGAGAAGATGTTCTATTTGGTTTCCGAGAAAGTGTAGGAAAATATTCCAAGAATTGAGATTATATTAGCTAGTGTTCAGTGTTGAGATTCCTTGTTTACGCTCAAAATGTCTAAAATTTGATTTTTATCTTTGCGAAGTGAATTTCATGGTAGAGAAGTGTATTTCTGTTCATAACACTTAACGAGAGGAGAATAAAATGTCCGCGATTAGCAGAATCTTCGTAGCTTCCGGATTTCTTGAGTGTTTGTTAGCGTAATACAGAGCTTATTCGTGGTACCGTTTTTGTGAACTCCATGTTCAGTGAATCCTTCTGTCTTTGGCAATTTCTAGTAAAACATCAAGAATGCCCCCTTCCGATGAAAGGTGGGTCTCGTCCTGGTCTGCAACCGCTGGTTCACCAACCACCATTCCTTAGGGGCATGGCACGAGGGCCAGTTCCTCAATGCCTGCCTATGGTAGACGACATCAGGGAGAGCCATTTCAGAGCGGATCCATGGTATCTTCCTCCTCAAACTGTCGACGAAGAGCGTTTGGCTGTTCAAAACGAGGATTTGCAGGTATTGCTCGCTGATAACCAGAAGCTGGACCGCAACCTGCATTGCGCTCAGGCAGGAAGTAGAAGTCTCACAGCACGAGTTGCAAAGAACGAGACATTAGGGCCACGGCGGAAATTCAGATGAGGGAGATGTGCGATAAGACTTTGCGTTTGGGAATGGAATTGTGTGAGGTCGAGGCAATGCGAGCTTCACTTCACAAGGTTCATGCCGAAATCCGGGCCAGGTTCAGGTGACGAATCAAGATTTAGCTAGACTTGCAGTAGAATTTGCGGCATATTCCAAGTCTGGCTGCACGAATTGAGCACACAAAGCTATATCTGCACATGTGCTAGGTTGTGCTCGTTGACACTTCATTGGTTTATACACTATGAAAAAATTCATAGTATTCCAGCTTATGTTTAATTTTTGACTGTGGTTGAGCGTTTCCACCTTTTTTGAGCGGCCATTGAATATGAGAAGAAATGCTATGCGGAGAATTATGGGAATGGTAAAATTATGGAGCCAAAGTTAGGTGGGATGGATCGGGAAACAGAGAAACTTCGAGCAGAGATTGCTAACTCAGAAAAGAGGGATCATAATGTTAGAAAAATGATATTAATTTCTTAAAACCAATTTGTGGTGAATGAGAAATTAATTATACAAAATAAATGTAAAAATGTGGAGGAAGAACATTTGTCCCACATTGGAAAAATGACAAAGCACAAGGAAGGACGCTTCCTTATATGTGTGTTTGTCCCACATCTAAAGTTTTGGCCAAGAGGAAAGAAGGAGCTTCCTTATAAAAAGAGCTCCCCTTGAGTCAACAATGTTCAAGCTCAAGGTTGACTAAAGCTAAAAATGTTTGGTACCACTTCTTCCTTTTCGGGAGAAAACGAGCAAAGTTCCCTAAGCGAAACGTTTAAATTTTGAATTGAAAGTTCCACTCGGGACTTTTCGATTCAGATAAAAATGTTTCGATGTGGGATTTAAAATTTAAAGTTGCGCATCGATGTGGGACGGTTGGGCTTCGAACCAATGCGTTATTGACGAAATGTTTCCTTTTGGAACGATTCGGATAGAACCGCTGGTTGAAAGGGTGGAGCCTCTTCCTTCACATGTTTTCGTAGCAACCCCCGAATATTATAAATATGGCGCTCATAGGATCATTTTCTGCATCCCATTTTTTCTGAGTATTCTCTTCCTTTCAGAAAGAAATAATCCAAAACTTTTTCTCTAGAGTTCCGAACTTTTGTAGTTCGCTGGATTTTCTTAAGCAAGTGGTGCTTTTGTAGAATCGTAAGTCGTTGTATCTTGGAGACGATTGCCAAAACCGTAACCACTTAATAATGGGGCAATTTCGTCTTGAGGAGATGTGTATAACACAAGCTTCGACTTAACACACTTCAAAATTTTCTTTTTTCAGAAAATTCTGTGTGAATTTCTGAATCCCACATCGTCGGGATCAACACATAATAGGTATGGTTTTGTTTGAACTTTAAACGAATTCTCATTAAAATGTCAGTTAGGTTGACGAAGAGAAACAAAACCGTTAAAGCTTCTGGGATGTTTTGTTCCTTATGAATCAGTGGGATTGAGGAGGGTTTTTAATTCCTGAATGAAGTTTATTGTTTTTTTGGTTGCCCATCAAATTTCTACCCCTATTCTTAATTTCAATCTTGAATTTTTCTCAGGAGGGGCCGGTTATAATCCTGAAACTGGCTATCATTTGAATCCGTATCTCAACCAAACTATCCAAACTATGGCATGAATCAAGTAAGCTCCGAATCTTCATCTCTCTATTTCATGTGTTCTTATGCAGTTAGCATTTCTATACAATACTTTGTACCCTGCCAATTGAAACCGAAATCGGCCTCGGTTTGTAACTTTGATTCCCGTTTCAAATTTAGGATCAAATACCCATTCTTCATCGCAGGCCCGGTGTTCAAAAGCGTTCATCACGAAAACGAACTAATCCAGAATCTGAATCTATCTTCTCTTAGTTCAGATCCACTGACTTCTCATTTGGGTGTTCGTCAAATACAAACACATTTGCTCGGAGGCCTAACTAGGAGAGTTGGGTACATATTTATTTGTACCTTTTGCCCCAATGACTAAAGTCAACATTTTTCATCATCTGCGAGGGACAGCGATTCACGGACGTACGGACAGACCGGACCATTCTTCTAGATTTGACGAGATGAGTCAACCATATGGGGACTACCACTTTGGTCGGGAGATTTGTCTATGTATAGACAATGATACAACTTACGGATCAACGCTGGTTCCCTTTTGTTTTCTCTTTGGGCTTCTTTATTTTATCTTCTCCCTCTGCCAGATTCAGGAGGAACGACCATAGACGTGAACAAGGGCAGAAAAAACATGGGACCGGTGACAAAGTTTAAGAAATACATCTTCACCTCAATCTTCATCTCTTCCATGAACTACTTCTACACCAAATGCAAAAGCTATGGAGAAGAAAAGATCAGAGAAGAAATCACTGGAAAGAATCACTGAATACAGACGGCGAGGAGGCTCTCTCCTCTTAACAATCTTGAATGAAGAGGGGTTATACAACTGGGAATATTTATTGTCATCATCGTCTTCCTGAATCAAATACTTACATAAAATACTAACCAGAAGAAGAGCATGCGAAAATCCGAATCTCTGATCTTAAGAAGAGCCATACCTAATCGTACCAATGCTCCGATGTGACGCTACCGCAACAGCCGCAGCTCCTACCGCACCGTACTGGGAATGTGCCTGCAGCAGCTTAGCATCCATTGCCATTTGGCCGTCGGTTAACTGATCTGTCTTGGATTGCGGCTGGAAATACGGGTTAGGGTTCATGTCGACGGGGATCACGTTAGGAGGAGCCGGTTTGTTAGGTTGGCATTGCGGGAGGTATTGCGGTTTCGGCTGCTTCTCTGGGTTTATCGGATTTGTTCGGAAGAAGCAGTGAGGCGAAGCGGTCTGAGGAGGGAGGAGGACTGTGTTTCTGTAATAGCTCCTCGAATCACAGGCCTCTTCAAGGATTCTCCCGTTTTCGCGAGGTACCGATGATTCCACCACACGACCTGGTCTACCTGCGAAAATGCACAAAAGGGTTGATCTTTCTCAATCTCCAGAGACAAAAGCTAAATGTCTTTTTTAGATGTTGTAAAATTCTCTACACTCGGGATTATTGGTGAATAGCGAAGCGAGAGATTCACACCCGATGGCGCTCTCGGTGGAGGCCCGAGAGACTTGGCTGGATTTGCGGAAGTCGACGGAGCCACTCCATTTCTAGATGCCTCTTCAGAACCACGTCGGCTATCGGACACATTGAAGTTGGAATGGACTAAGCTGGAATGAACTGTCGACCTGCGTAGAAGAATATGTAGCGATAATAACGCTTCTTGTAAGACTAAGGATTGCCTCGGAAAATTACACGTCTTCTGCAACTTTTATAAGGATGAATAGAAAGGAAAATAAGATATACCTGGGAAGTGATACATGCTTTCTTTCTAGAGGAATTACAGGTCCACTTCTGCCGCTGTTCTCCTCGAGGTATGCAAACTGCTTTCTAAGATGTCCTATGGCACTGCAAATAACGAGTTGAGTAATTAAGAGGATAAGATCTGACATCACTCAAATGTTGTAGTCAAGAAATAGCTCAGAGGAAGGATCGAAAAACCTCGGATAAACAAAGTTCGAGCCCTCAGATCCGTTCATATAATCCTTAAGCAACTGAGGATGGTATTCTAGTATCTCCCTGTAGATTAGTTCCCTAATGTCATCCTTTGTTAATCTCCGTCTCTCGAATTCAAATTCCAGCTTCGAGATCGGCTGACAGGAAGGTTCTCTTTCAACCTTAGCAAGGCCCTTGAAGTAAGGATCAGACAGCGCCTGTTGGCAAAAAACACACACGAGAAATGCAACATCGCTATGTAAGAAACATCGCCGAGCAAATGAAGAAACGCAGAAATGGTATATAGTGGAAAGAGAGAAATGACAGAAAAATCACCTCTGCAGCAGTTGGCCTATCCTTTGGATCAAAAGCTAACAACCTCTGCATTAGCCGAAGTGCTAAAGGATCCGCATTGGAAAATTTCTGCGAGAAGGGAATTGGATTTTTCTTCCTCATTCCGGTCAAGTATTTTCTTGCCTTCTCATTCCGGACCTGCATCAGTGCAAGTTATCAGTATCAGAGAGGCATAGAAGATATTTTTAGTATAGATATGCAAAGGATCATACTCCGGAAATGGTGTCTAGTGACGGTGTGCCGAGAAGATCAGTAATCAGCTCTAACTGATGCACGATGCTTTTCCCGGGAAACAATGGCTTTCCCATCAACACCTCCGCAAAGATGCACCCGATGCTCCAAATGTCAATAGCGGGAGTGTACTGAAAAAGGATAATACCCGCGAAATCAGACTATTGAGCAAAGGAATCAACAATAGAATGAAGTGCAAATTCGACAAGAAATCCACCCAATGGACATATATATAACCTGACACAAGGTTACCTGAATTACAGATTTTCAACTTCCAGGAGATTTCAAAGTCCTCCCTGAACAAGAATTACTTTAATCTAGACATCATTGTTGATGATAAAAGCACTACAGTTCGTTCATATTTTTTCATAAGGCATGACTCTATACTCATTCATGGATGGGGAAGTGACCCAAAGCAATTCTCTGTATCTTTTAACACTATTTCATGGTTTTGACAAAGATGTATGCAAGCACAGAAAAGAAAACCGGAAACACGAACAGAACACTGGGCTGCATCAATACATACATATATACATACATACATACATACATACATACATACATACATACATACCTTAGAAAAGAACGACCCGCATAGCTCAGGCGCCCTATACCATCTGGTGGCAACATAATCCTGTAATTGAAAATAGAGAGCAGACATAATCAAACACTGTAAAAAGAATATCAGAATATTGAATGGACACATAACAGCAAAAGGCAAACAAACCGTCCAAAAGACGGTAGTAGGAGTATCACTGAAGGCCACTCTTGCCAGTCCAAAGTCACAGACTTTCAACTTGCAATTTGCATTTGCCAATATGTTCTTCGGTTTGAGATCACGATGGTAAACGTTAGCTGCATCCAAACAGCGATACAGTTAAACAAAATCACAGGAGGGATTCAATGGAAATATTTTGTGGATAGCATTGTGGAAATTGGATTAAAAAGGAGAAGAATTTCACCGGTATGCATATATTTCAAGGCACGGAGCATCTGGTAGAGAAAAAACTGATGGTGTTCACGAGTTAAATCGTCGTTAGCTTTGATAACTTGGTGAAGATCAGATTCCATAAGCTCAAACACAACATAGATATCTTTGAACTCCCTCTTCGAGGGCGGAAGCATGATGCTTTTGATCTCGACGATATCTGGATGCCGGAGGAGCCTGAGAAGCTTGACCTCACGGAGGATACGAATGGCGTCAGATAAATGCTCAAATACATCATTTATCTTCTTTATCGCCACTTTCTCCCCGGTATGTGTATCGACTGCTGCACAAACAACTCCATAGCTTCCTTTCCCAATGACTTCGAGGATCCGATATCGATTGGCATCTCCATACTCGCTGAAAAATTTTATCTCTTTCATGTCCTGGAGAATCCCAAATGTTAGAAAGAAACATCACTGACACATCATAGCAACGCAAATCCATGAAAATGGAAAGAACCCAAAAATGCTGAAGTAACAGGGAACCCGTCGGTAATGTTCACTAAGGCACTTAGATTCAACCAAAGTAAGTCGAAACAAATGCCATTTCGCATAGGTAATTTACCGGATCTTTCTCGCATTTGCACCAAGAATTTCGTAATTTCTAATCCCCACGTTTTCAGCCAAAATCGACCGATCCACCCAAAGAAACGAGAGAGAGAGAGGGACAGACCTTCTTCCCTTGATCTTGTTGCATCGTCCCCAAAATTCACGAACCCAAGAGACTCAACTCCTCCCGGATTATTATATGAACACGGAGGCAAGAGAATCTCAGAAGCGAACAAGTAGGAATACAACTAAGTTCGACCTGACTCGCACTTCGTTCTCCACGCAAGACAAAATGCCAAGAGTCGCCCGACAACCCAATCTCCTTTCCCTCGATCAAAATCCAAACTCAGGAACTTACACTCCCCAAATGATCTCAAAAATTGCAAGAGCTTGCAAGAACGAGACCAAGGAAGAGCCAATCTCAAATCTCAAGCCGAAAAAATGCAGAATCAAACCCCGATTCGAGAAAACCCTAGATTCCCAAAATCCGAAACAACACACGAACCTTACCAACCAATCCGTAACTAAGATTCCTGCGGGGTAAAAGAGAAGAACCCAAAGATCCGTAAGATCCAGAGATCGGAGAATGAGAGAGAGAGAAAGAGAGAAAGAGACGATGATGAATCAGACGAGAGACACACCGTGCAGATCACAGCCGTTTATAAAAGAAAATCGAGTTTTCGAATTTATATTTAAAATATTTCCTAAATATAGCAATTTTCGTGGTACTTATTGCGTACGGGGGAGAGTAGAGAATCATTAGATATCACGCGAGTGGCATTCTCGTGATTCTTGTGGCGTTCGAGCCCTTTTTACTGCCCAGTGCCCATTGTCGGCTAGTTTTTGAAAAAGACCCGTTGCGGTGATGTGAGGCAACTACCGATGGGCCGTTCCTTTTGATGTTTTAATATTTCTAATTTCAGCCCCTAAGTATTTTTTTATTTTAATTCTAAGCCTCTTTTCTGTCAATTGACCAATTTTACCTACTTGTTCGTGACTCGTCTCTTTCGATTAGATTTTTCCTTGAAATAACATATAATATGATTCTTTCCTCTAGGTCATTAATTTTTTTTGAAATTTAATAGCGTCATTTTTATTTATTTATTTTCTAATTATATCACTACTAAACAAAAAGTATTTTAAAATCTATAAATTTGTAGGAAATTACAAAATAAATGAATAAGTCTGATATCCACTAACTATATATTTAGAATTTATAAAAATACATAAAGTATTAAATATGTTTTATTTTTAGATATCATATCATATTAATTTAAATAAAAACTCATGAATTTCGAGTATATATAAATTTATATACATTTGGAAAACATTCACATTTGTATAACTTTTTTTTATAAATTATGAACCTATATATTGCTAAGGTTTTAATTATTTTCTTGTGCTTATTTAATAATTTTGAAAATATTGTAGATATCAAAGATAGTTTTACCTGCTAACAAATCAAAGTTTATGGTTTCTAGATACGTAGCAAACACAGGGTGTTGTTTTGAACACACACAAAAAATAATTAAAGCATCTTTTATATGGTAAAAATGATTATTCAATGTTGCCAAGTCGTTGGCTTTTGACCTCCATATGTCATTTATAAATTATAATATATGACGTAAATTACAATTAATTTAGGTCCCTATGAATCAATTTAATTAAAAAATTATAAAACGCTTAAATCGACATGAAACCGACCAGTTTATAGCCGTAAAATTCACCTAATCATTGTATAATATTAATAAATAAAATATAAAAATTGAGATGACTTTTGGAAGGGATCTTGCTGGTGGTACATTAGGATCAAGACAAGAAGATCACAACTAATGTTAATCATTTATATATAAAATAAACAATTTTATAAATACAATTTTGAAATACAAAATATTTTTTATTTGGTTGGATATTAAAAAAAATATTTTTCTTATATTAAATTCACCGTGAATGATACATTTGTCTTTCTTGAAAAAAACAAAAATTCAGGGTTGGGCCATGTTGTGACATTTTAATATATTTGTTTTCGTGGATCATATTATTTTTAACAAAAATATATATATAAAATACGGAAGAATAGCATATGGTTGTGAGTTGTAAAGTCGGTCCATTACCCTAAAGTCTGAAAAAGACTGCCGCATACATAGAATTATATAAATGACCGAAAAAAAAAAACATGAATATTGATACGAAAAAAAAAACATTATTTTATTTTCATTTTGGCGTTTATTAAAACAACAAATAATAATTGACATCTGTTATTTCTCTTATCCATAGACAAAATTTTACTTTATCAATAGACACTCTAAATTATGGAAATCTGACCCGAACTCCCACTCGGTCTAAAAACTCTATAGTTCGATCTTATAAAATTTTGATTTGGATCGGCCTCAAGTTAGATTAGACCTATCTGTTTAAACATATAAAAAAAATCAGATTTTAGGTGTTTTTTAACTTAATTTTTTTTAAAAAAAATGGATTTTTGGACCGACCCAAAATCTATCCGGTTTAGCTCGAAAAAACCCGAATCCGGTTTAGAACCGACACGAGCGAAGATATTGAAAAAAAAATGATAATTGTATTGCAGATAACGACAAACAAGCATAATTCACCACATGAGTCATGTGTTTGTTGGGCGATTGGAAGAGCTAAATATCTCCCCTTTCAAAGATTTTATTGGCAGATTTTTTCTTTTTGTATTACATATATAATTTTTTCGGAGTTTATAATTTTTAGAATCTAACATCTCTCTCTATCTCATATAGATTACTATCAATTTAAAATATTCTCTTCATTACAATGGTTCAAATCATAGAGATACCTTTCTAATTCTGCTGACCAAATTGGTGGATCTAATTTAATTAATGAACTTGTACATTTTTTTAAATATTTGATGCATTTTTTGGAAAATATATGAATATAATTACTGATGAATAATCGCAGTCAAAATATGGGGAATTTTTCTTCTTAACAGAGTGAACATAAAATTAGTAAAATCATAAATCTTGAAATTTTCAACCAGGTTTAACTTTACGTGAAGTATCTAAAGAAATTATCTCTGGGAAGCAATCAATATCCGTATATTTTTAAATAATATTTTAAGGGAAATTTGCAAACGTCACGTCATTAGAAATCTATACCTTTTTTTCATTCCTTTGCAAACTATACTTTTTTATAATTTTTTGACAAAAATACCCTTACTTTATTATATAATTTCAATGTTGTCATTAAACATTTCAAAAAAATTACAGCATTAAAAATATATATTTTATTCAGAAACTGTGTTATCTCGGAAAACTGTTTTTTCATCCGGAATAATTATTTTCATCTGTGAGAATCTGTTTTTATTTGGTTTAACTGTTTTTGTATACGAAAAAATAATTTTTTATTAAGAAGAACTGTTTCTCGTCCGAAAAAATTATTTTTTTCATTCGGAAAAGACTTTTTTTTATCCGAAAGAAATGTTTTTTATCCGAAAAAATCTATTTTCGTCCGGAGAATAATTTTTTTTAGAGAATTGTTTTCATCGAGAAAAAATATTTTTTATATGAAAAATAATTTTTTTTATACGTGAGAACTATTTTTCATTTGGACAAAAAACGTACACTCTCAAACGAAAAACAACTCTCTCGAAAAAATAGTTCGTCCGTACAAAAAAACAAACTTTTCCGAACGAAAAACAGATTTTTCCGGACAAAAAAAAATCCTTCCGGACAAAAAATCAGTTCTCCCGGACAAAAAAAAGATTATCCCGGATAAAAACAAACTCTTCCGAACAAAAACAGTTATCCTGGACAAAAAAAATTCTTCTGGACAAAAAATAGACTCTCCCGGACAAAAAACAGTTCTTCCGGACAAAAAATAGACTCTCCCGGACAAAAAAATATTTTTTCCGGATAAAAACAGCTCTTCCGGATTACACAGTTTCCAAAAAAATCTGTTTTTTATATTACACATTTTTTCGGGATGCTAAATGGCAATTTTGAAATTATATAATAAAGTAAGGGTAGTTTTGTCAAAAATTTACAAAAAGGTATAGTTTGCAAAGGTCATAACTATTTTGTCATACTTTGCAAAACACCCTATCTTTTTGTAACACTTAACCAAGAACCCCTAATATTTTACTATATTAACAAATAAGAATAATACATGTCGCAGCCAAATAAAACGATATTAATCAGTAAATAATCGTATCATCGATGACCACATTTAGAAAAAAAAAATTAAACTAAAGGTCCTTTGGCAATGATTTTATTCTTGTATCTACATACAAATTGATTTAAACGGTCCATTATAATCTATAGTTAAAATCATTTTAATACAAGATTATAGAGTATTTAACTTCCTAATGAGTTAAGTTAATATACATTATGTTGGGAAGTTTTCTATAAACAAATAAATAAATAAATAAATAAATATGGTGGTCCAACGAATAAAAAAAATCAATAAATCCTCACTGTTTTCAGTAGCAAATGTTAGGATATTCACTTTGGTGTAAAAGCATATGCTTCTCTCTCACTCTTTTCCACCACAATTCGTGCTTTCATTTTTTTTTAAGAAACTATATATTATACAGTAGTTTTCAATTTAATTTTTATCGGAGAAATAAATATACGTTATATACTCTATTCCTTAAATAATTCAATATGTTTGATAAGTTTATTCCAACATATTATAATAACAAAGAGCATGACACCTGACTTGAATAGTTTAATCGGTAAAATGAAAATGCAAAATACTTATTCCGTCTCGAGTTTGAGTCCCAAGTTGGCAGAAGAGCGTAATTTCAATCATATGGTTTGTTCTCGATCCTGAGATTAATCTAGACTTTTCGGTCCAAAATATCCGATTAACCCAAAAAAACCACGTAATATGACATTTAACTCTTATGTTATGTTGGGCGATATTACAGATATACCTTTAAAAGTAACATGGACTTCAAGATATACCCTTGAAAAACTAGGGTTTCAAAAAAAAATTGAAAAACGTTAAAAAGACAATTCTATCCTTTTAAAAAACTACACGTGTAATAATCTGGAGGAATATGGTGAAAAAAAGAGAGAAAATGAGTTCCCAAATAAAAAATTATTAAGTAAAACAAAAACTGTTCAGTTTCTTCTTCCTCCCTTCTTCACGATTTCTCTCTAACGGACATTCTCCAGGCGATTTTATTGGCGATTTCTTGTGCGATTTGTTCTCTTCACTTCAAAATGGTTTCGTCTTCATCGTTTTCGGCTTCTATTTGCGAAGATCTTCAGGTAAGGTTTTCATTATAACTCACCGAGAAAGTTAGTTTTTTTTTTAATTTGATATGTGTGTACTTGGGCAAATATTTACGGTAGACAAGATCTTAGTCGAATGAGTTATAGTATTCGAGTTTTATAGTTAAGAAAAATTAGGGTTTCGGTTTGAAAATCGAGTCATATGAGAGTTTTGTCTCTATCAGTTTCGTAATGGTCATACTCGTCACACTGGTCGTACTCGAAGAGTGTGACACGTTTGACTAGTCAGATTAAACTAGGTACACCCGTCAATGGCCATACCAGTGAAGTCGTCACACCATCACACTGGTCACACTGGTTTCTACCATAATGGTCACACTCGTCACACTAGTCGCACTTCAAGGGTGTGACGAGTTTGACTAGTTTTATCAAACTGGGTACACGTGTCACTGGTCACACCAGTGAAGTAGTCACACCGTCACACTAGTAAAACTAGTGACGAAGTAATGTTGTCATACTAGTAACACTGGCCGCATACGAAATGGTCATACTAGTCACACTGATTGCATTTGAAAGGTGTGACCAATTTGACGAGTTTGACTAATATGATAAAACTGGTCAAACTGGTCACACTGGTCAAACAAAACTGATAATGAGTGTTAATTTTGTTTTTGCAGGTTCCTTTTGTATATGACTTGAAAGACATTCATCAGGCTCTCAAGATTACAACGAAGTGTTATCCATATGAAATCATTCGGTCTTTAAAAAAGGCCTTTACAAATGAAGAATTCAGATTCTTCAACAAAGAGTCACAGTTTCGTCACATCTTCCATCTTAAATGCGAAGAAACATTGAAGATGGTTCCGACATCTGTTCTCTTACACCGTGCATTGAAGTTGGAAGGAGTGGTAAAAGAGCTATGGTTTGTTCTGAACGGTGTGCCCATCAGATACTCGATCACCGAACATGTCATTATCTCCGGTCTCAATTGTGACAAGTATCCTAAAGATTGGGTAGATTTCAAGGGAAGCCAGTTTCAGATGAAAACATTTGGGCCTTCAAAGGTGACCATATCAGGGGTAATAGAAAAGTTGAATAACACTCCAATCACAGATGTGGAAGATAGAAAAAGATTAGCAATACTTGTTTTGCTAGGCGGAGTACTAGACCATGGCATCAAGAACACTGATGTGATTCCCACTGCCTTAGTTGACATGGTCGATAATCTGGACTTCTGTGAATGGTTTCCATGGGGGAGATACACCTTCGAAAAAATGACCGATCAAATATGGAAGGTGTATACAAGCAGCTCTAAACCGAAGGACAGATGGCACTGTCTGGGATTTGTGATACCTATTATGGTAAGTTAATTTTTTATGTATAGTTTTTAATGTGATTGAGGGTTCGAGTATAGATGTTTGATGTAATTGTTTGGTATGTTTTTTGCAGTTGTTTCTTTTTGAATGCGTGGAAAGCTTAGGCGGATGGTATATGGTTGTGGAAGGTGCTGATCCAACTTGTCATAGGATGTGCAAGAAGCGCATCCAACCGGGCCTTTTTGTCACACATACAAACGTGATGAAACAAATCGGTGTGACATCACAGGTATGTAGTATGACCAAATATGAATGGTCATATGAGTCAAACTTGTCATAATGTTCTCACTGATTACAATCACCATTTTTTTTCAGGGTATTCGAAGTGTTTTTCAAATAGAGGGGAAGAAGAACATATTCTTTTTAATCTACATGAAGATGAAAATAGTCATTCGGTGGTGCAAAGTTGGATGCAACAATTGAGGATGAATCCGACAAGTATTTGTTTCGAGAAAATATGTTAAATATGTTAAGAACATATCGTGTGTACTTCTTCATGAACACATGATCCTCTTTTTAATTAGTAGTATTTGAATCATGTGTACTCTCCGAACATATTTTTATCGTTTATTTCCTACGAACATCTTTTTAATCATATGTATTTTATCGGGTAAAATCTTCATACTATTGTCAGTATTCGTCAAACCGTCAAACTCGTCACACCGTCAGTATCCGTCAAACTCGTCACACCGTCAGTACCCGTCAAACTCGTCACACCTTATCGATTTTCGTGAATTTGCCTACTGCAAACTGTAAACTTATCAATTATCATCTCATTCATCAAGTATCTTACGCTGAATCTAAATCTAGCTCTCAAATTTTAAGACCTTTTTGTTTCTCACAATGCATGTTCTCCCAAAGAAACCCTAAAGTTCTAATAGTGTTCTCCTAATACATTGGCTTAGGGTAGGAAATAGTTTTTTTCCGCATGAGTTACGGTTAACAAAAACTCGTTAAATATGTTATAATGACCCCTATACACCACACTGAACCATCAAAACTTAATTTACACCAACGATTTGTTTTCACAAACCGTCAACCCGTCAAACTCGTCACACCGTCAGTACCCGTCAAACTCGTCACACCTTATCGATTTTCGCGAATTTGCCTACTGCAAACTGTAAACTTATCAATTATCATCTCATTCATCAAGTATCTTACGCTGAATCTAAATCTAGCTCTCAAATTTTAAGACCTTTTTGTTTCTCACAATGCATGTTCTCCCAAAGAAACCCTAAAGTTCTAATAGTGTTCTCCTAACACATTGGCTTAAGGTAGGAAATAGTTTTTTCCCGCATGAGTTACGATTAACAAAAACTCGTCAAATATGTTATAATGACCCCTATACACCACACTGAACCATCAAAACTTAATTTACACCAACGATTTGTTTTCACAAACCGTCAACCCGTCAAACTCGTCACACCGTCAGTACCCGTCAAACTCGTCACACCGTCATCCAAAACCCCAAACTGGTTTGACCAGTTTGACGAATATATTAAACGAACAGAAATTCATGACAAACTATATAAAACGAATATAAATTCATGACAAATACAAATTACACCAAAGTCTTCATCATATGATTCAAATACAAATTCATAATAAATGTATTATATAATACAAATACAAATACAAATTCATGACTCATACGTCTGTGACATCGTTGACGTACTAACCGGATACACAGTCTCTTGGTAAGCCATACGTCATGTATCTCGCCTATAGTATTCAGAACATAGATCGTATATCATATCGCCTTTTCCGATCATATGTGTTGCTGCAATTGCATGACTTAGCTTGATAGTTGTTTTATCTTTATCTACGTTCAGCTCAGAATATAACTCTTCAACAAGAAGTTTGTATGTCAAATCAGTCGGAG